CTGGAAGGACAGATCCTGATGCTGAGGCTTCAATACTTTGGCCATCTCATGAGAAGAGAAGACTTCCTGGAAAAGACCCTGATGTTGGGAACGCGTGATGGCAAGAGGAGAAGGGGATGACAGATGATGAGATGGTCGGACAGGGGCATCGAAGCGATCAACATGAATTTGTCCCAACTCCGGGAGGCAGTGGAAGACAGGAGGGTCTGGCGTGCTCTGGTCCATGGGGTCACAAAGAGTCGGACACGACTAAACGACTAAACACCAACAAAAACTTCCCCCTGACTCCCAAAGATGGCTGACTTTCATGTCACTCAGGCTTCTGAATTTCCTGTTAGCTGTACAAAAGAAATGTTGCTGTAACCACCTCTTGGTTGTTGCTGTATGTGCCACCACATCACCTCAGACTTATGGCAGTCCCATGAATGAGCCATCTTCAAAGTGTCCTGTCCTGAATGGCCCTCCTCAGTTCTTATAAACTCAAACCTATGGCTTCCTTTAGGGAGCCCATCCATCTCATATTCAGTCTTCTTATTTTCCTGCTGCCTTCCAGCTTTCCTAGTATTCTTGTTTTTTCCAGAGAGTGTGTCCACCTCTAAGGATTCAAAAAAAATTACATTCTCTCTACCTTTCACGACATCGAAACACTATTCGGTCCAAGTAGCAAGTCAGACTGGAAGACTTTTCTTCACCAACAGATTTGTCACTATATTAGTACAAACATTTCCTAAGGAATGCCTTTGATCATGTTTTTCTTAATGGATCCATGGTTACATTTTTTCCCATTCATTATATTCTAATCCCATTATTTAATATATGCCTTTTGTTTTTCATTACATCTACCTTGCGGGCACAGAATTTGAAGAGGGCAATGGAAGAATCTGAAATTTGTGCTTTCCATCTGCGAATGGGACATCAAAGAGCATATTTTTGTTAATGATCTAAAAGACCATGAATTAGCTTCATTAAAAGAAAAGAATTATTTATTTGTAAAGAGCGTTTTAGGCGTCTGGCTGAGGAGCTAGAGGTTGAGAGTTCAATTCCCCACTGAGAGTCCTTGAGCCATAGGGTCTCTTCCAGTTCTGTGATTCTAAGATTGTAATAGATAATAGATTATTATATACAGGTAATCATAATGTACATTTCAGTTCTATGGCCATCCCCCAGTGTCACAGACGGCTGTCAGGCAATGCTGCCACCATCTGTTCTGATAATGCAGTTTCCAGAATCTTTTTTCTCTCTTTTCACAACCAGGATCCATGGCTTGCATTCCCCCTATTTTGTGTCATACCTAATTTATGGTGAGAACATCACACAATAGTTGAAATTTATTTTCCACGTAACTGAAGATTTTTCACAGCACAATGTATAGGGGAGGGAAAGAATCTTTGTGGGTGAAAAATGTTACATCAACAAACTATAAAGAGTTATGAGCCAACGACACCTTACACATAGCCCGTCATTGAAAGTTGAACTCCATTTGTGGTCCAGGGATCAGAAAGGTCTTCATGAGTGAGATTTTTCTCCCTCCCGGAATAGCCCTGATTCTCGCCATAGCATACGTAGAATACTTCACTATTTCAATAAAAGAGTTTTGATGCTCAAGCCATCTTGTTATCCTTACAAGAAACCTTCAAGACAGGCTTGTATTAAATCTGTTTCTGAAAATTCTGTTTCTATTTGTTCAAAAATAGGGCTCAGAATCCTGTTGGGATGTTGCTCTGGAGTAAATCGGTCAAACTGAGAATATGACTTAGTGATTTCAGATGGTGGACTCCTCAGCGCAGGACCTTTTTTTTTTGGAGGTAGGAGAATCTTCTCTCTCCATTGGTCATTTCTGTCCTAAATGGTCTTTCAAAACAAAGATGGTCATGTTGGTCCAAAATAATAGATCAAAGAACAGATCAATACTTGGATGTGGCTCCAGAACAACCTTTGCTCTTGGGCCACTGTAATTCTATTGGGATAGAGGTAATCATCATCATGTCTGCATTCCAAGGTCCTTCCTCCCACCACCTGATTCAGGTTCATGGCAATAGTTCATTTTCCACGAAAAAAATGTGCCAGTATTAATCATTTAGTGCACTAATATGAACAAGAGTTGTATTAGTGCACTAAATGATGAACGCTAGGAACCTTTTTTCGTGGAAAATGGACTGTTGCCATGAACTTGAATCACCAGAGAACATTTTCTGTTCTCTGGTGGGAACAGAAAAAACTGCCCCATACCACATCAAGCCATTGGTCTACAAAGGCCATTGTTAACACCTCTGACCATCAGCCACTCCATAAGTTTTCAGACAGCATGACTGTCATGTTAGAGCCATCTATAATCAAAACCATTTTAGTTTATTTAAAATCATCGCAATCATATACAAATATATATACAATTTAGGTGAACTGATCCAAAACCACTAAGGACATCAGAAAGCCAATAAAGTAATCTATTTACAAAACAATACAGCATAATAAAGTTTGGGGTGCTTTTGGGGGGGGTGGCCTCAGACATACAAACAAAAGACTTGTCTTTGCCTTTTCCAGTCAGAAAGATATCAAAGGTACCTAAAAAGCTGACTGAATCAACAAACAGGATACTGTAATGTATGGAGCTGTTTATCCTTGTTCCATTGCTTGAAGATACTGTGAATCATTACTCGAAGCCATCATCACCACCGGCTTCAGTCTATTTTTAAGAAATATCCGGTACTACACACTGCCGTATGATGGGAAATTTATATGACAGCTAGTATGAACTGCTGGAAAGCTCAGTAGTTTAGGTATCTGGCTGCAGAACCAGAAGCTGGGAGTTCGATTCCCCACTGGGGCTCCTTGGCAAGGACTGGACTCAATGATCCATAAGGTCCCTTCAAGTTCTGCAGTTCCAAATGATGATGATGTGAGAACTATTTGGGGGACATAGGCCACAAGAAGTAACCATTTCCAAGCTGTGGATCTTAACCACAGCAACATCTTTCCCTGGATATTGCTCTTTTGATTCACAGTGAGAATCTTTGGAATAGGGATTCAACTTTAGTGCCTCCCAACCTGAGACAAAGGGACCCTTTTTGGTCCTTATTAAATGGTGATTGAGACTAGAGATGGGGACGGCTCACCATTTTGGCGAGTCGTCCCACTTCGTGAGTCGTCAACTTTTGACGACTCATGAAGCATGAAGTTGCCCCCATGAAGCAAAGTTATTTGTTGATTCATGGGGGTGTTATTAAAAAAAAACACATACCTGGCTGCCCTAAATGAAGCCGTAGCCACCATCTTTGCAAAGGGCAACCAATCTCCCTTTTTACACACCATGGCTGCAGAGACCAGATGGAGACCTCGGCAGCAGCGATTATGGTAAGGGAGTGTCAGCAGGGGGGGCTAAGGTAGGGAGAAGAAGGGGAGGGGTGGGCTGTGGGGGTGGGTGGTTGTCTCTCGGCACACCAATCAGGTGATCGGCGGCTGGTAGGCAGAATGGAGTTTTTTTTCCAAAAAATTTACGGAGTACAAATAAAAACGGGAAAATATTCATCAATCCATATTCATTGGGACTTAAAATTTGAGAAATACGGATCAACAAATATTTATCGAACCGGCTATTTTTGTTTTTTAAAAAAACTAATCTGTTTTTCTATTCATCCCCATCTCTAATTGAGACATTTGCAACGATGGGCCCTTACTGAATATGGCACGTTGGGTATGTTTGGGGGAGAGCATGTAGCCCAACCCTCCTCCATTGTCATTTTCTTCACACTTTCATCACCAAGCCTAAAGAGAAGCACTTTCTGCTTCGGATATAGGCTGCCAATGCTACTGAAAGATGGGATTTTCATGGGTTTCAGCTTACATGAGAGCAGAAATCTCCCCTTCTCAGTCTCGCCGATGTTTGTGTGGAAAAACAAGTGATGATGAAGGGAACAGAACTGAACATTCCCCTTGAAATTATATCCAGAACACGAGATTTAGTAACAGTCCAGTAGGGCCTTCTTCAGTTCACACAAGGCTTCCCTCTGCAAGCTTTAACAATTAGTTTCTCTGTAAAACTTTCCAGTTACCCTTGCCTATTACTACCCTTGCCCTCTAAACTCAAGCCCCTGGACCCAGTCCCTTTGTGATGCAAAACACATTCTCAAACACACATTGTTCTTCTGGCTTTTGCCCTTCCATTTCCAAACCCTTAAACAAAAGGGCAAGGCTAAAATGGGCAGTGGGATCCTTTGGGGCATCCCATTTCAAAGTGCAGCCAAAAAATCGGAAGAAGACAGAGACTAGGAAGGGCAGCAATACATGATTTACAAAATACAGTATTCAAGTGCAAGGACGTGTCACTGGAACCCCAGACCAAGATCATCGATACTCGTGTATTTCCAATCATCATGTATGGGTGTGGAAGCTGGACAGGAAAGGAAGTTGACAGAGAAAAAATTGTTTGAAATACAGGGCTGGAGGAGAGCTTTGTGGATACCTTGGACTGAAAGAAAGACAAATATGTATGTCCTGGATCAAATCAAGCCTGAACTATTTCTGGAGGCAAAAAAATGTTGAAACTGAGGCTGTTCTATTTGGGGCATATCCTGAGAAGGCATGATTCTATAGGTAAAGATAAAAGGTTCCCCTTGACATTTAGTCCAGTTGTGTCTGACTCTAGGGCGCGGTGCTCATCCCCGTTTCCAAGCCACAGAGCCAGCATTTGGCCAACGTGACTAGACACGGAACGGCGCTGCCTTCCCACCGAGGTGGTACCTATTGATCTACTCACATTTTTACATGCTTTCGAACGGCTAAGTAGATGGGAGCTGAGACAAGCGATGGGAGCTCACTCCATCGCGTGGATTCGATCTTACGACTGCCGGTCTTCTGACCTTGCAGCACAGAGGTGTCTGCAGTTTAACCCACAGCGCCACCACATCCCTCTAATGATTCTATAGAAAAGACCCAAATGCTGGGAAAGGGGGAAGGCAACAGGAAAAGAGGAAGACCAAATACAAGATGGACTGACTCCCTAAAAGAAGCCACAGGCTTGGGTTTGCAAGAGCTGAGCAGGGCTGTTGAGGACAGGGCATTTTGGAGATTGTTCATTCACAGGGCTGCCATTCATTGGAAGCAATCTGACGGTACATAACAACAAAAATTCCAGACTGGGGTGCAGCCTGCTCACAGGCTGTCACCCACCACCCCAAAGTGCAGACAAAGAGATCAGGAGAAATTCGGACACCACCACCTGACAACTGAAGTCTCCAAACGAGTCTATAGGTGATGAGAAAAACTATTGTGACAATTAACTTCCTGGCTCAGACAAAATTAGATCTGCAAAGACAGTTTTGCACAAATTTAAACTTCAGTAAGAAGTTCAGAGTGTGTGTCTTCAGCTTTGGAGGCATGACTTGTCAGAATTCAATACTTTCATCGCATGTTCCTAGAACCCCTTAATTTCAAGTACATCCATGCCTGTTGACCAAGAGGCATTTGATTTGGACATGAACTACAGCAACTGCAGCATCGGCAGCCACCCCGCGTTCAGATGCTCCCAGCTGCCCTAAAGAGCAGGGTGAAAAGTCATGCTTTGATAAAGAGCAAAAAAAAAGGTCCAGAAGCACCCTTGCTAAAACGGCAAAGCACCAGCAGCTGCAGGAAATTGGCAAGGGATTCTCTGGTCCACTTCCATAATGCGAGGCCAGTCCAAAGTACAGAGTCCCGATGTGGAAAGACTTGTTCTTTTTCGAAATCCCTGTGTCTCTCTGTGGGGATTTCTCTCCCTCCCCTTTTCTTTTAAAGCAGCATCTCCTTGCTAGGAGAGAAGGAGGTTGGCAAGGATATGGCTCTGTGTGGCACTTCCTGCAGCTTCAGTGCTGCGTCACTGTCCCGCTGACATGGGAATAAGTCTGCAGAGAGAGAGAGAGAGAGAGAGAGAGAGAGAAAGGGGGTGTTTACAATGTGTTCAGCCATATTCCATAGGCATCCTTCAGTCTCAAGAGACTATGGTAACATGCTCTGAATCGAGGAGTGTCCTCTCCAGAGCATGAAGCCCGGGTAAAGTAATATGGAGGATAGGCTGTTACCCAAGCAGCAGATCCCCCTCTCCACATTGCTGAAATGATCCAATGGAAAGGCAAGAGCCAATACAACTGGTTCCAGCAATGTCGCAGGAGTTGGCAGAACGACACATGCTGCCTTCGGGACTCCAGCTCCGGATTTTGCCTCGAGGTTAACTCCTGAAGCCTTTTCCATGAATGGATATAGCCACAAGGCAGTGGAGGTTTGAAATCGGAGTTTTCCTTCTCCTAGATGGGCTGCCTTCCATGGCTGACGAGCCCCACCTACCCGGCTCAGCCATATTACGTTGCTGCTAAGAAGGAGGGTGTGTGTGTCAGCCTTAGAGATGGGCATGAGGGGCCACTCGCTGGAGGCTGCGGAGGAGGAGGGAAGCTGAGGGGTCACCCGCAGAAGACCAGGATGTCCGAAATGTGTGTGTCAGCCTTAGAGATGGGCATGAACCACCAACAGCATCCCGGGCTTCCCTGCCCCGCCTCCTCCCCTGAGGGGCCACCCGCTGGAGGCTGCAGAGGAGGAGGGAAGCTGAGGGGCCACCCGCAGAAGACCAGGATGTCCAAAGAACAAACTTTTACAAACCACCATGTGATTTGTGCCCATCTCCAGTCAGCATGCATCTCCATGACAATGCACCTCTTCTATGCTCCTTGAAAACCTTTGACATCCCTTCCAGTGACATCCTAAGAAAATGAAACAATGGGCCCCATGCTATTCCTCTGTTGAAAACAGTTCTCTCTCTTAAAAAAAAACCCAGAAGAATAGCACAGGGCCCATTGTTTCATTTCAGAAAGTTAGGGTTGAAGCAACACCAAAACAGCAAGGAAATTCTGATGCCAGAACACACCACCTCCTCCAATCAAAACATGTGCAGGTGGGAAAATTATGCATTGCTTTCATTTCAGGGCCTTTTAGGAAACTCAAGTTTTCAGTTTTGGGGTTCTTTTCGATGCAGGTCCTTTCAGCAAATCTGAAAATACTCAGATCTTTCTGGTTCTTTCCTTTTAGTTTTCTCACTGTAGGTTCTGGCACTAGAGCCAATTAAACTGTGCAGAGCCCTCAAAAAGAAAAAGGGGAAAAAAGCAGGGTCAAGACAACAGAAAATCATTCATTCCAAAAGTGAGCAAGAACAGTACAGGAGAAAGAAAAAATCAAGCCTCCGCAGACCTATGCAGGGACGAGTATTACTTTGAAGTTCACATTTATCATCAAATCGTCATCAATTCATCAGCAGGAAACAGTACAGATGAGAAAGAAACCATCATCATGATCATAATCAAAACCAAAAACAGACACAGTCGCTAAGGGCAATTTAACTAAAACCCCCCAACCCAGATCCTTGGGGGAACTGAGAAAACAAGTCTCCCTTCTATCCAGCAGTGCAGGCAGTAGTCCACCAGGCGAGGGGCAGGCAGGCGTGTCAGGCAAAAATAAAGAGAAGGGTGAGAAATCGTGCCCCCCAAAATATCAATAAAATAAAATGCAAAAATTAAAGGCAGGGCAATCCACAATAAGAAGAGTTTTGTTAACCTCTCTTATGGAATCCCGAATCTTTTATATTTCAGACTCTCCCTACCCTAAAGCCGCAAAAGACTCCAAAAATGAAACAAAGGGTCTTCCATGTTTTCCCTCCATTTGGGTTAAGCTGACTGTCCAGTCTCTAATGGACACATCAAGAGCTGTATCTTGATGTTTGCTAGAGCTTCAAAGGCATCGCGCAACACCTCTGAATGCTGCTGTTATCAAGAGCATAATCAAAACTTAAAATGAGTTGCAGTCCAAAACTCCTGAGTAATCCAAGGTTAAGAACCAGTGATCAAGAGCATAATCAAAACTTAAAATGGCAACTAAATTAAAACAGCTCGTGCTGCCCACCACTGCTTGCAAAACTCACTTTTTTGAACCACTCCAAGAATCTTCCAGCCTATGTGGTTAGTGGCCAGTCAGGCTAGCAGTGGAGATGTAGGGCTTGTTCCCCAAAAAGAGAACTTTTTTAAAGCTGTGCTGCCCACTAACACCAGACTGCCTGTTTCTCTCCTTAATGAACATGTTGGGGAAGAGGCAAAAGCAAAAAGCAAAGCGTGCTGCTTATATAACGCCCCCATAGCGCTTCAAGCACTCTCTGGGCGGTTTACAAGTTAATTATGCAGGCTACACATTGCCCCCCCCCGCAAGCTGGGTACTCATTTTACCAACCTCGGGAGGATAGAAGGCTGAGTCAACCTTGAGCCGGCTACCTGGGATTTGAACCCCAGGTTGTGAGCACAATTTAGGCTGCAGTACAGCAGTTTAACCACTGTGCCACGAGGCAGCAGTAAGTATTATCACGAGGTCATCCTTCTGGACAGATCAAGAATTGTGATTAGCATGGTTGTTTTGCAAAATAATTAAGGCATCCGACAGGGACAGACTTTGGAGAATTCTGTTTTTTGTACTCAAGAGTAGGAAGCATTCATTCAAATGGGCAAATCCAAAGACCTTTACTGCAGAAAAAGCTAATCTCCACAGCAAAGTTCAGGCTGCAACATATTCGTTCCACCAGTAAAGTTGTACACCCACACCTCTGGCATCAGCGCTCTTACCTTCATGACCTGGACGATCCATCCATGGAAGTCATTGACCTTAGTGTAAACACCTGGCTTACTGGCCAGGGCACAACCAGTGCCCCAACTCACAATGCCACAAAGCCGCCAACGTGAAGTCCGTGAGATGCTATCCTCGCACACAAAGGGGCCACCACTGTCACCCTGCCACATTTTAAAAAGAGAGAGAGAGAAGAGGTTGCAACCTGAACTCATAGCATTCTCTCTGGCAGACAAGACATATTATTGTATTGCAGTGAAAAGCTGGAAGTAGCAAGTGACATGCAACATAGTTATAGCAAATTAAACATATCAATACTTAACAAAGTCACATTTTGATAGTACAGTACCAAGACATATTATTGTATTGCAGTGAAAAGTTGGAAGTAACAAGTGACATGCAACATAGGTAAAGCACATTAAACATATCAATACTTAACAAAGTCATATTTTGATAGTATGATAACAAGTGGGGAACATATTATTTTACTGGTGTAATGGTTTACATTTTCCAGTTACTTTTAAATGTTATTTTGGTGTTTCTACAGGAGTATTTTGATACCATTCTCTTATCAATGATAGGGGCTATATTTTCCAGTAGCAAAAATTTAATGGAAGATAGCAGAAAATGCAGTGAGCAAAATTTATTGTTGACACTACAAAGTTAGTTTTTGACAGTCCAATGGATACCATCAACAAATTTTATAACACAATAGCAAGTACCAAGAATTTTTCAGAGTAACTTTCTGCATTCTGATAGCCATTAGGACCTAAACCCAACTGCTAGTCCCTTCAAATCAACTAATGAATGGTCTCTTATCAATGATAGGGGCTATATTTTCCAGTAGCAAAAATTTAACGGAAGATAGCAGAAAATGCAGTAAGCAAAATTTATTGTTGACACTACAAAGTTAGTTTTTGACAGTCGAATGGATACCCTCAACAAATTACTTTTATAACACAATAGCAAGTGTCAATAATTGTTTCTTAAAGTAACTTTCTGCATTCTGATAGGCATTAGGACCTAAACCCTACTGCTAGTCCCTTCAAATCAACTAAAGAATGACAGGTCAACACTTGGGTAAATCCCATCATTTCAACCAGTCTTCTCTAGCTGGAACTGACAACTGACCGAGTGACTGAAAAATAGATTCAGGTGAAACAATTTGCATTAGAGGAGGTCAAATTGGAAACAGTAGTCTTGGAATCAAGACAATGATTCCAAAATCAACTTCTGTGGTTTAGAACAGTGGTCCCCAAACTTGGGCCTCCAGATGTTCTTGGACTTCAACTCCCAGAAATCCTGGCCAGCAGAGGTGGTGGTGAAGGCTTCTGGGAGTTGCAGTCCAAGAACATCTGGAGGCCCAAGGTTGGGGACCACCGGTTTAGAACATTGCAGCTTGTCAAGAGGCAATTTTTGACAAGAAAGTGAAACACAGGAATATAAGAAGCTGATCTACACTCATTGATCGTTGGTCCACCTGATCCAATATTTTCAACTCTGACTAGCAGCAATGAGTGGCCATGGTTTCTTTCCCAGCCCTACCTGGAAGAGGTAGGAATGAACACCCAAGCCACTGCCTCCCCTCAGTGCAGCACACGGTCTCCCCTAGTGGACTCCCGTCCAAACACAATCCAGCCTCAGCCCTGCTTAGACTCTAAAATCAATGAGCTTCTGGGTGTGCAGGATGCTGTGGCAAACAGGAAGGGTCTACATACCTTGGCCCTCCTGTGATCCTGATTAGAGACGTGCATGAACCACCAGTTCAGAACGTTGTGCCAATTTGTCTTTTGGGTGAACAGATCTTCGGCGCTTCCCAGCCCTGCCTCCCCTGGCAGGAGCCCACTTAGAGTCAGAAGGTGGGGAGGGAAGCCGAGGTGCTGCCTCTGAGTCTGCACCTGCTGCAGGGGGCACGCAGCTGTGAAGCACCAAACACTTGTTCGTCCAAAGGACAAACCATCGTTTCAGCAGTTCGTGTCTACCTCTAGGTAAAGGTATAGGTTCCCCTTGACAATTTCTCCAGCCGTGTTTGACTCTAGGGGGCGGTGCTCATCCCTGTCTCCAAGCCGCAGAGCCAGCGTTTGTCTGAAGACAGTTTCCGTGGTCACGTGGCCAGCGCGTCTTAGACACAGAATGCTGTTACCCACTGAGGTGGTCCCTATTTATCTACTTGCATTTGCATGCTTTCGAACCGCTAGGTTAGCAGGAGCTGGGACCAGTGACAGGAGCTCACTCCGTTGCGTGGATTCAGTCTTAGAGCTGAAGATCTACAGACCTTACAGCAGTGGTCCCCAACCTTGGGCCTCCAGATGTTCTTGGACTACAACTCCCAGAAGCCTTCACCACCACCTCTGCTGGCCAGGATTTCTGAGAGCTGAAGTCCAAGAACATCTGGAGGGCCAAGGCTGGGGACCACTGCCTTACAGCACAGAGGCTTCTGCGGTTTAACCTGCAGCAGCACCATGCCCCTCTACTTCTAATCCTGATCTAAATTAAACTCACTTCACTCCATGGTGGTCTCTTCGAAGGCTGGAGAGAGGATCATGTGGTTAATGCAGGATTGGAACTCTTATCTCCAAGAATCAGCAGTGCATGAAGGGGATGGAGTCTGACTGAGTCCCTGTCAATCTAGGGAGAAAAGCCTTAAGAGGCTTCTGTTTTTCACCTGGCTGACCCAGAACTCAAGGCCATAAACATCCAAAGCCTATGTTCATTGCCCTTTTGCCCTTTTAATCAATGTATATTTTTTAGAACGTTACACAATGTGAAGAAATAAAACATTATTTTACACATTCATTGCACTTTGCACCTCCTCATCAAAAGGATTAGGAGTCACTGGTTTTACGAAATCCTGCTGACAATGAGCCCAGCTAGAATTGCTGAATCCAAACCAGCCACTTGCATTTTTGGATTCTCCTTCACTGGGTCTTGACACGGTGAGCACCTGCATTTCAAAATGTGCCCCCTTCGTCATTGTCCACCAGCACCAAAAACAAGATTTGTTGGCAAGTGCTACCTACCTGACAGGCATCTGTGCCACCAGCGGCGAACCCAGCACAGAACATCCGGGGCTTGATCTGATTGTCATAGTACTCGGGGCTGTTGCAGACACTGGTGCTGATGATGGGCACAGCGGCCTCCTGTAGTATATCTGACTGTTGGCCTAGACAAAGCGTCATAAGATACAGCATGAGAAGAAACCATCACATAGTGGGTTCCCAACTTTGGGTAACCAGGTGTGCTTGGACTACAGTTCCCAGAAGCCTTCACCACCAGCTATGCTGACCAGGGTTTTTGGGAAATGCAGTCCAAAAATGCCTAGGTTACCCACGGTTGGAAACCACTGTCATTACAGATTGCTGGTTCATTAGGTCCAGTATTTCAACGGAAGGATGCAGCATCACAGGAAGGATAGGACACTCTTACAAACTTTGGCAGAGTGTTTGTCCGCTTGGCCAGTATTGCAGAAGTTGGCTTGGGATTCACTGGTGTTATCTCCAGGGGCTTTGCAGTGGATCAGCAGGAGTTTCCCATTTGCAATAACTTAGTGATAAAAGAGCACTTTCCTGGGCAGGGGCTGTGTTTGGGGCTGTAACTTGGACACCCCAAATCCAAAATTCACCAAACTTGGAGGAGAGGGGGAGGAATGTCAGCTGAAGTCTCACTGTGATTTTGGCATCTCTAACTCATGCCGTTCTACCACTCCGGAAGTCCCGAATCACACAAACCATGAAATGGTTCATTTCGTTAGCAAGTTTGTGCAAGTGATAGTGAAGGACCACAAACCACCACGAACCACCGTTTTTATGGCCATCTCTACTTAAGACCGAAAAATGTGTGGTTTTCTTTGTCAAGAAAGGAATATGAGTCTTTCAGGCTTAAACGTTCCGTACTTTCAGGACTTTCAAAGTGGGGCTGCAGAATATACCGGCTCCCTTCCATCACATCTCGTCAGAGCTGTTGCCACATGAAGCTGGGGAGAAGGCAGGGGAAAGGACTTACCATAGTACTCTGTGTTGCCCCAGCCAGTCACTGTGCAAAGTTTCCCGTCCACAAGAGGCTGACCCAGAGCTGGAAGACAGATGGGCTGGATATATTCTGAAGGAAGAAAGTACGCTATTAGAGGGGGGGCAGTCTTTCTGCCCTGCTTCCTACTCTACAACTGTAGTTGGTTTTATTTCATTGCAACCTGCCTTGAGTCAATCTTGGAAAACAGACACAATATGATTGGAATCAAACAAACACACACAAAATGCTCCTACACCACCAAGCAGGTAAACAAGCAAGGAAGCCAATGTGATGATGGTTCCAGAATTTAGTGGGGGAGAAAAGATCAAAGGCTCAGAGAAAACCTTGTTAGTAGCATCACCAATGACACATCAAGAGATCTACACAAAAAGGTTGGGAAAATTTACTTTTTGGATTACAAGAATCCCCTTGCTAGCATGCTAATTGGCTCTAATTTCTTTCTTTCTTTTGAGTACAGTTAGCTATGGGACAATGTTAGCTGCAGTTCAACTCATCTGGAGGACACCTGTTTGAAGACGTCTGGTCTAGACTAAAGATCAGAAGAAGGATCCCCTTCACCCTCTCCCTGTGGACAGGGGTGCACATTCAGCCCCAAGACAACAGTGAAAGGGACCAGGGATTACACCTCCTCCAAGTGCATTTTACCTCAGAGTTTGAGGAATGTACTTTTTGGACTTCAGCTTGCAGAACTTCCCAACCAGATCAGGTTCTTCTGCAACCTCTGCCCATCCCTGATCTTCCCCAATCCCTCAAAATATGCTCACCATTGAAGGAAAGAGGTGTCACCAGGTGCATCAGGGCAATGTCGTTGCTGTTCTCCTCACTGTTGGGATCCTGGAAGGGCAGGTACCCGCTGTGATAGATGGCGCTCACCACTCCCACCTGAACACCTTTAGTGGAAGACCGAGAAACCGCCCCTGCGAACACCCGCCACCGGCTCACCATTCTGTTCCTCCTGTAGAGAGACGGGCAGACCCAAGAATGAAAGGAAGACAGGGCAGTTCACACAAGAGGGTGGAGAACCTTTGGCCTTCTAGATGCTCTGAAGTAGGGCTCCCACAGTCCTAAATCATTGGCCACGATGGTGGGGACTTCTGGGAGTTGAAGCCCAAAACTTCTGAAGCACCCTCCTCTGTTTTACATCATTGCCTGGTTAACAACCGATGGCAGGGACGATGAAAGGGAAACAACCAGCCATCCAACATCCATATTCATGACTTTAGGGTGACAGAGGCCATCTCCTGACAGCTACCATGTTATCTCCCATAATATCCCAGATATTGCCCTGTTTTGGGACATTGCCATTTACCCTACAGAATCCCAAATAAATATACCATACCCAAGGTGTTTTAGGAACATTTAAGGGTGACCACTAGAATAATTTCAATCTGCCACCAGGAAATGACAACCAGAAGCAGACACCTCCAGATATCTGACAGATGGGATAATAAAGAGGAAAATGTTTCATATCTATTCATTTCTCATAGTCTCTTGTCTAGAACAAAGGAAAATAGAACCTTTGCTCAGGATCTCTGGCTCAGTTCTACAAATGTTCCAAAACTCATACACAGTGTTAGTGAACATCCTAAAATGTCAAGCCAAACCCTAAGACCTGGAGACGCTACAAAGATGGGGGACATCCTCATATGAAACAAAGATGTGGGCTCATACTTACTCTGGGAAGCAGTGCGCAGCTGTGATAACCCACTCATTCGAGATGATGGAGCCACCACAAAGGTGTGTCCCATCATAGCGCAGGCTGACTTGCCATGGCCATTTACCCAAGCTCGCATCTTGGCCCCCTACAATCCGGTCCATGGACAACTTTCGGCGCCCACAGTCTGCAAAGCACATGGCTGGAATTAGTTCTACAAGAAATGGATCTAGGCCAAACACATCTCAGATATTGGACTGATGCTCAAGTACATTGCTTTAAAACCATGCCACTTTACCATGGAACATGATGGGCACTGTGAGAAATGTAAATGTGGCTACTTGGCATTAATCATGTGTACTGCTTCAGGACTTCTCAATTTTTGACTCTCTAGATCCATGGTTCCCAACCTTGGATATCTCAGGTCTTCTTGGACTGCAACTCCCAGAAACCCTGGCCAGCACAGCAGTTGGTGAAAGCTCCTGAACTCCCAGAAACCCTGGCCAGCACAGCGGTTGGTGAAAGCTCCTGAGAATTGCAGTCCAAGAACACTTGGGTTACCCAAGGTTGGGGGACACTGCACTAGATCTTTTGAACCAGATCTCTGAAAGGTCCAGCCAACATGGCCAATGGTCAAAGATTATGGAAACTGAAATATCTCATGGGTCAAAGAGTAAGAACCACTGTCCTACTTCACTGAGGACAGTTCTCTGTTTGAAGTTGTCATTTATTCTAATGGCTGTGTTATTTGATCTGTTTTAAGAAGGAAGAGCATACACATTCAAGTTGCCATCAAATGAAGGTACGTGGGAGCTTATGTGATCACATTCTACTCTGTTTTGGTGACACGGACTGTAATTCTATTTACTGTATAGTTAAAATTTTCATATTTGCATCTATGCCTACAAATTTATATAAACAAATATTAGATAAATCTACATCTTATTCTACCCTCTTGTACATTTAGGCATGTCTCTTTCCATTCATTACAAAGCCACATTAGCTGTCGATCGCTAGAGCGCCACTAGTAGAACATCCACTAGAAGATGAACTGTGAACCGGAGGGGCCCATCAAAGGACTCAATGTCATGCGTCATGCGTCCTTCCAATCAAAAACCTCACCTCCAGTTTTTACCCATTTTAATGCAATTTGTTTTTCATCAATATGCTTCTCAACCCATTGTAGGAGTGTTAAATATGAAATGGTCTCAGCCTAGCTGGGCCCTTGTGAAGAGGCTAGCAAATGACAAAGGAACATCTAGCTGGGAGAAAATCAGAAGATGAGAAGGAAAGCTGGAGATGGCATTTAAGGAGAGCAAGGCGAGGCAAAAAGAAAAGCTCCATGCGATCAATTTGGGAGAATGAGGAACTTGTACAGAGACAGACAGATGGGTCTGGGATCTTCATACCTTGGCAAAGTGTTGCTAGGAATTGGCCCGTTGGACATTCACTGTAGAGAAAGAGGAAGAGGAAGAGATTTAGTTGTGCCAAGGAGGAACAAAGAGGCATAATCCAGGTATATCCATTCCAGACTCCCTGCAAATCAAGCTTTCTGCTGGATGCAGAATTCAAGATTCTGAGCGCTTCCTTTTCTTCATCTGTTCATCTTCATCTGCCTCTTGGTATGTTTTATTTATTCTTTCCAATTGTCTTCCACTTTTTAAAAAAATTATGAACTCAAGGAAATGTTCATTGGATTCCCGGGAGATCTTCTGCCCAGACATTAACCTGAACGATGCCCTCCAGATATACTCTAATTTCAAAATTCTGCTCCTTATGACTACATAAAAATAAACCAGTAAATGGCTGAGCCATTCCTGCTCAACACCGCAATCCTAACTGATAGCAAAGACAGCTAGGCCAGTTAAAGCTGTGCTGAATCCAACCCTTCCCAGCCTAGAAATACCAAAATTACCTTCAAACCTACCCTGGTTCTAGCCTAGTTTTGCACTGGCGTGTCTACACTCCTGGGATGGAAGGAATTTGGACATGGACCATCTTGGTGTTTTTTTAACCCTGGCCTCTTCCCTCCAGTCCCTCTTTCGGGTCTTCTGTGAGTCAGAAAACAGTTCTGTCAGCAGATTACTCCATCAGCAGATCTCTGAGATCAGCCAACAGAAATGGGCCTTTCAACTAGAACGGAGGGGCGACTAGGCTGTCAGCATCAGAGACCGACACCCATTTGTAACTCCCCATAGTCAAGCTGGCACATGTTCAACTTACAATCACGCTGTAACTCAGAAACCAACACAGGATTGAACATGTGATTCACAATAACCCTGAATAGTCCCTCGCCTTCTCTGCACATGTAGCAGGAGAACTGTGCAAAGCAAGCAAATTTAGTGCATTTACAGATGTTTTTATAATTTCATAATCCATAGGGGCGGCCATTTTCGGTGCCTCTAAAGCGAGGAAACACAGCGGGTGGCCATTTTGTTTACCCAGTGGCCATTTTGAAACCACCGATCAGCTGTGCGAAAATGGGCCTTTTGCGATGATCACTTCCCCGCGATATCACAAAGCAAAAAAACCCCATAGGGACCATCGGTATGTGATCGCAAAAACTCCATCGCTAAGCAATTTTGTCGCTCAACGGAGCGATCGCTAAGCAAGGCACCACTGTAACTCAGAAACCAACATGGGATTGAACATGGGATTCACAATAATCCTGAATAGTCCCTTGCCTTCTCTGCACATGTGCAGAGCAGGCAAATTTAGTGCATTTACAGATGTTTTTATAATTTCATAATAACCCCTGCGCATCCTATCCTACTGCAGGGCTTGAGGTGGTTAATCCTGGAACTTGTTGAATTACCGCTCCCATAACCTGCACCCCTTGGTTGTGATGACTGTAGATGATTGGGATTTTAGTGCAACAGCATCTGGTGGAAACCCCACCTTCCTTGGGAAAGAACAGCTCAGGGGCTGAGTCAAAGACAAACAGGAGAGAGGCTCAGCCCATCTTGTACCTTACCACACAACAATGGCCTCGCTCAGCCTCCGAGCAAATTGTAACCGAGATTCATCCACGCAAAAATAGCCTGATGTTCCGTTGGCTCCCGCACTGCCAGCGGAAAGCACGGAATGGGAGAGGGACCTGGAATGAAATGGAGGCAAACAAAGGGAGAGTCAAAATGGTGACTTACTTGCATCATTCCGTGTAAGTCTGAAAACTTTAACCCCGCTGTTTCGTGGGTGTCTTTCACAACCTCGTTCCTTTAAGGGTAATTATAAAAACACTGTAAAGGATCCCTGATTGTCTAGGACCACCCATGTTACTAATGCAGGAAACAATTGACCTCACTTTAAATAAGCCATACCAACAGAGGTGTGTCTTAGCCCGATTATCAGAGAGACTTTAGAACAAGAATGGGGATCAATGGCCCTGAGGCTGCATGCAGCTTTCCAAGCTCATTCCCCAGAACTCACATTCAATGGGGATGGGGGGGAAGCAAACTGCACCAGCAGAACCTTCCCATGGCTCTACTGGGCCTTGAAAGGCTGTTTCAGGGACCCACGACCTGTTTAAGGCTTGGAATAGTCTCTTTATTTTCCCCAAAACCAGATACAGCCGTGCCCCGCTGGACGATTACCCTGCTCTACGATGAATCTGCTTAACATTGAAGATTTTGCAATTGTTTTTGCGATCGCTTCACGATGTTTAGATGGGGTTTTTTTTTTCGCTTACCGATGATTGGTTCCCTGCTTTGGGAACCGATTTTTCACTTTACAACGATCAGCAAACAGCCGCCGGCTGAAGAAAATGGCTCCCCTTTGTGTTAGGGACGGATTCCTCGCATTACAGCACCAAAAATGGCCACTGTATGGAGGATTTTTGCTGGACGTACAGGTATTCAGCCCATTGGAATGCATTGAACGGTTTTCAATGTGTTTCAATGGCTTTTTATTTCGTTTTACGATGATTTCGCTCTACAGCGATTTCACTGGAACGAATTAACGTGGTCAAGCAAGACACCACTGTATAACCTTCCAGCATCTTCTGTGTATGAAAATAGGGTGAGTGGGGACTGTTAAGCAGCTTCTCACTCCTCAATTACAGCTGAAGCTATCAGGGGCTGAACCTAGGGTGTTTGGCAAGAAAAGCATACGTTTCAGCTCAGATCAGTGGCACGCTGCAGATGGTTTGGGGTGACCAGGCATTGATGGTTCAGAAACTAAATGCAATGCTTCAGTTTGCCCAGGCTGCGCTCTACAGCGATTTCACTGGAACGAATTAACGTGGTCAAGCAAGACACCACTGTATAACCTTCCAGCATCTTCTGTGTATGAAAATAGGGTGAGTGGGGACTGTTAAGCAGCTTCTCACTCCTCAATTACAGCTGAAGCTATCAGGGGCTGAACATAGGATCTTCGGCAAGAAAAGCATATGTTTTGGCTCAGATCAGTGGCATGCTGCAGATGGTTTGGGGTAACCAGGCATTGAGGTTCACAAACTAAATACAATGCTTCAGTTTGCCCAGGCTGGTTCCGATATCTGACTGGTGCCTGATCTTTGAGGCAATCATTTACAGGTATAAAACGGATATCAATATTACAGTTTAGTTCAGCCTGACCCGGCTGGGTAATATCTCCATGGGGGAGGTATGTTGATTCACACCAGGCTACCTCTGCCAAAATTCCTCTGAACAGAACTCCCTACCTCCCCACCACCACCACCAAAGATCTCTGTGTCGCCCCCGTCTCCAAGGCCTCGGCCAGAAATAAGCAGAGCTTGAAAAATTACTTCGAACAAAAATGGAATTGGCTGCTAGTTCAGTTGCAAAGAGGAGTGTTAACTTCATAACTATTTTAGTATATCTTTTCATGTGACAACGCTGAAGAAATGACGCTTGGCTACAATGTAAAGCAGCTTATATAACAGCGTACATGTGCTGTCCACTTAAAATAACGCAACGCACAGCCATTCGTGTCTAAACCACTGGCAACAGAAGTGCTCTGGGCATACCTGACAAACCCCATCTCTTCACAACTGAGGGCTGCCACCTGGGCATCAGAGGAGGAGGAGCAGAAGAGTCTCCATTTCCCTTCGTTCTCATCGTAGATAGTGAGCCGCAGGTCCCCCTGATTCACCTGAACTGAAAAGACCAAAGACAGCCATGAGCAAGGGCTGGGCATGCCCCACTTCATCTTTTCTGCAACCTCTTGTTGGACTGAGGGCCATAGACACAGCAAGCCTGTTGTTAGACACAGAATTCTTCAAGAGTGAAAAGATGTCTTGATTGTCTTCCCATGAACTTTTCTCACCTCCTGCAGCTTGCTTTGTTTTGTGATGGGTCACTAGGTAGTAAACATGGGCTTGGTTGAAAAATACAGTAGGGCCTCTGTATCCATGGGGGATTGGTCCCAAAACACCCCTGTGGATGCTGAAACCCGGGAGTAAATGCTGCACGTAGTAAAAGGGAAAAAATCCAGAAAAAAAAGTATCTTCACATGCCAAAACACCCCTGTGGATGCTGAAACCCGCAAGTAAACCCTGCATGTAGTAAAAGGGGAATAATCCAGAAAAAAGTATCTTCACATGTGTTACCAGAATTGGTCATTAGAGAATATAAGTCCAATAAATAAATAAATAAATAAATAAATAAATATTACCAGAATTGTCCATTAGAGGGAGCCAAGAAACCATGCTATGCATTTTTCAACAATCCCTCTAGTGCCCAGTTCTGGTAAATACATTGTGAAAATACATACGACATTGTGAAAATACATATTTCTAGTTTTTGTTAACATTTTTGATTTCAGGACACAGATAGGTGAAACCATGGATACCAATCCTGCAGATACAGGGTCCTACTATATTGTTGCTCATATTTACAACTCAACATGGGAAAACATCACTTTGCGATGATCGGTAAGCATTTCGTTTACCGATTATCGCATAACGATGTTTTAAGAGCAGCTGATCGGCGGTTCCAAAATGGCCGCCGGGTAAAGAAAATGGCCATCCGCAGTGTTTTCGCACCCTTTCCTCGCTTACTGGGCAGCGAAAATGGCGGCCGCATGGAGGATTTTCGCAGAATGGTGAGTTTTTTGCTCATAGGAACGCATTAAACATGTTTTAATGCGTTCCTATGGGCTTCTTTGTTCCGCATAGCGACGAATCCGTATAGCAACAATTTTTTTGGAACGGATTATCGTTGCTATGTGGGGTACCACTGTATTTCTAGTTTTTGTTTTAACATTTTTTATTTCAGGACACAGACAGCTGAAACCATGGATACCAATCCTGCGGATACAGGGTCCTACTGTATTGTTGCTCATTTTTACAACTCAAGCGGAATCCTATCCCTGGAGCTCTAAAGTCTCCCAGCTTCTGTAGACCAGAGATTGGAAGGATACATTTTTAAAGGAACTTGTGTTACTCATCCCTTCTTAACAGCCGAGTTACCATTATCATTAGTGTTTCTTTGCCTGCACAAGTAATTTGATGTTTTCCCAGTGCAAACATGTTGTTTTGACCTCACCAACAGGATGGAAGCATAAAGGGAAACAAAGACTTTTCTTGTTCCTTCTAGTGGCTCGTTCTTATATTGCAAAATGCAGATACATACAAAAATACCAAAGGCAAAAGAATTTACCTTGTTACTTAGGATTGATAAGAGAATAGGACAAAGCTTCAAATATTCCAGGAAAAATCCCTCTGAGGTACGTTAAAATGCTTTTGAAAGGTTACTTTGACTTTATGTTACTCACTACATATATTGTATAACCAATTACATAAAAATAACTCGATAACTACTAGTTCAGTTATTTGTTCAAAAAGTAACTTGTTACAGATAATTAAATTACATGTAAATATCCCAAACTGTTCTGCTGACATGATATCTGTATGATCTAGCCTGATCCTAGGCCTACACTAGTTCGCAGCAATCTCTTCTGCTGTTTGAAGCCACTGTGTCCTGGGCAAATTAGAAATGTCACCAACAATAGGCTAGTTTCTTCCATGATTAGCTTACGTAGAAGAGAGCCAGAAGCTGATCCTCCATGATAAACATCCATATATCCATATTCAGTCTGTAGCTGCAGATTTACCTTGACTGCTTGCTTTCATTAATGTTTTTACAAACTTTCTGTTTATGGTTTTTGACTCTTTTTTTAACTGGTTGTCTCTGAATATTACCAACTGCTGCTGCTCAACCTCCAATATCTTCTATTTGAGGCACTTGCCTCATTCTGAGTAATCATTAGATCATTAGTCACTTTATGACAAGGTCAGTTTTGCCTCCTCTAAAACCACTCACCGATGTACAGGCTTTCCCCCTCACCTCCAAGCACCGACATGACTGCAATGGAGAAGAAACACAAGAGTGAAGTTAGCACATCATTCTTTTTGAGACGGGACAATGACAGAAACCCCAGAAGGAAGAGCCACCTTCAAGGAAGACCTTCATGCCAGCATGGCCACCGGGGGAATGAGCCCTCCCAGCGCCCTTTCCCCCTTTAGGATGTACAATTACACTAGAAACCATTTGGCATCTAATGCATTCACACTGGCCATTCACCAAAGTGTTATTGCTACAGGAGCCTTGTCAGGCTGCTCTTCGGCAGAAATCAATTGATGTTCACCTATCTGCTCAGTCTTCCAAGGCGCTGGGATGAAACAGCAGACCTTTGGAGAGCAGAGACTGGGAGCAACTACAGTAGAATTCCCATATATCAGTGCCAAATTCCCCAGCAGATGCCAAAAACTGTGGATAATAGTGAACCCTATGCATAGGGAGGAGCCTTGTCAGGCTGCTCTTCGGCAGAAATCAATTGATGTTCACCTATCTGCTCAGTCTTCCAAGGCGCTGGGATGAAACAGCAGACCTTTGGAGAGCAGAGACTGGGAGCAACTACAGTAGAATTCCCATATATCAGTGCCAAATTCCCCAGCAGATGCCAAAAACTGTGGATAATAGTGAACCCTATGCATAGGGGGCCTTTGGCCAGCAGATGCCAAAAACTGTGGATAATAGCGAACCCTATGCATAGCATGGCCTTTGGTTCCCTCTAGAGGCCATTCTGGTAATTACATCATGGAAATAAGTTTTTTTCTTGTAATATTTTCAAATATTAATATTAATTTTAATATTTCCAGATTGTAGATATGTAAAACCACATCTACCAATCCTGCGGATACAGGGATCCTACTGGACTACAGTCTGCCCATGCAGAAAAATCTGGCGTGAGTGTCCTTTGCTGTTCTCAAGAGAGGCACCCAGAACAAGGGAAGTCCTATCCAGTCAATAGTCATGAAGCACTGGCTTTCATACATATCATGGCATAGGAACAATTTATCTAGGTAGATTTCTCACCTATAGCCCAGATTCCAGCTCCAATCCCAGCAAGGAGCAGAAATCCACTGGCAATCACCGCCACCATTTTCAGTGTCCAGCTGCATGATTTAAGGCCTCCTGAAAGACACCGAGATTCAGTTAGACGCAGACATGAACGGTGATTCATCCAGTGAGCTACAACTGATGAAAGTGCCTTTCCTTTCACACACACACATAACAAACAGTCCTAGCGAACACAGAAGCTCGCCTTTTTACTGATATGTTGTAGCCCAAAAAATGGATTATTCCCACATTTTAGATCTTACAAAAGGCTGGTTTTCTTGGAGTTGATGGGAATTGAACCTCTGGCCTCCTGCACATGAAGCAACTGATCATACTCTTGAGCTCCTTTATGGAAGAAAGGTTGGCTATACAGTACAGTAAAGGAGAGCCACTTTAATGTGTGATGACTGGAATGTTGAATGATGACTCAAGCGACCTGGATTCAAATGCTCATGAAACTCACCCTGTGAACCTTGGGCCAGGTGCCGTCTCTCCCTCACCTCAAAGAACTGCTGTGAGGATAAAGTGGAAAGGGGGTAGGAAGCCATCAATACTTCCTCAAGCTCTCTGGGGAAAAGGCAGAATATAAAGGCAACTAAGGAATAAGTAAATAAATAAAATAAAGACAGTGAAAAAGAAACATGGGCATTATTCTTTCGTGTGCCTTAAAACAACACTACAGTGGCGCCTTGCTTAGCGATGTTAATCGGTGCAGCAAAAATTGCCGCTAACCGAAAACATCGCTAAGCGGTTTTTAAAAGCCCATAGGAATGCGTTGAAACCCCTTCAATGCGTTCCTATGGGCAAAAAACTCACCTTTAACCAAAAATCCTCCATACGACAGCCATTTTCACTGCCCGGTATGCGAGGAATCCATCCCAAAACACAGCAGGCGGCCATGTTTTTTACCCGGTGGTTATTTTGGAACCGCCAACCAGCTGTTGGGAAAACATCGCTATGCAGAAATCGGTAAGCGAAACAGCTTACCGATCATCGCAAAGCAATTATTTCCCATTTAAAAGATCGCAATGCGATCGCAAAAACCTAATTGTTATGCAATTTCGTCGTTAACCGGGCCGCTCATTAAGCGAGGCACCACTGTACTTACAAAGCCGTGTTTATCATTTGGGCTTCTTTGCCTATCACCATCTGCCATAGCTACAGATGAGCCTGAACCACCGGTTCAGCGGTTCATGCCGGTTCATTTATTGGCCAAACAAGTGTTTGGTGCTTCCCAGCTCCGCCTCCTCTGGCAGGTGCCCATTCAGGGGCAGCACCCAGAGGAGGCGGGGCAGGGAATCCAGGACACTGCCCCCTGAGTGACTGCCCACTAGAGGCGGTGTGCCTGAGAAGCACCAAACACCTATTCAGGTGAATAACAAACTGGCACAACAGGCAGTTCGTGCCCATCTCTAGCTATAGCGCTGGTTCATAACTGAAGAGCACCTTTGTTCTCATTGCCATTCGAGATAAACTCATGACTGAACATTCAGTCTAATTGACGGCAGTGGAAGGCCAGTCATTCCAGACGTGGCTGTATGACTGCTAGTTCCCAGAACCTTCAGCCGGAAAGAGGGGGACGCTTGGCTTAGTAAGCCTCAGAGAGGAGGCCTGCTCCCATGGTCAACATGCTGCCATTAAAAACAAAAAAGACTTTCTTAAGAGAAACACAAACTATAGTAGTACACAGTGTGAACACAATTTGGTCTCTAAGTAGGGCTGTAATAGATTTATTTTATTTTATTTTTTAAACTGATGCCCTGCCCAAGTAATGGTTAAGCCACTATTCTGAGTAGTTTGCAATCAAAAACATCAACATAAAAGTAAAATGAAATTCAATAACAAGTTAAAACACCGAACAGAAAAGAAGCCCTCCCTAAGTCTGACTATATTTAATAATCTAAGAGCTAACCCATAATATGGTGGCAAAACCAAAGTCAGTTAACTCTTAAGCGGCGGGCCATCTGGAATTAAAGGAAATAAGATCCCGCCTTAAACTCTGGAACGCCTCTGCCAGTCCACATTGGGTAAAATAATGCCGTGACTCAGTATTAGGCAGCTTATTACCTTCCGAACATAAATTCAGTCAGAATTGTGAACTCCATATATCTCATGATTCCGAGAGACCTCAGCCCTGTATGCTGTCACTGGTGGAATGCAACAGAAGGAGGGAGGCCGAGGGAATTAATTGTGTTTTATCTATTTACTTTCTCCTAAAGAAGATCCAGTGTGGCTTGCAACGTTTTTTTAAAAAGCAGTTTAATTAGGAATTAATTGGTAAGGACTCCACAGTGTGGTATTTCAGATAAATTGGGGGTGGGCCCTGTTTAATCATACGCATGCACCACAGAGAATCCACCTGAAAACAAAGAGAACAGCAAATGTTCTTGTGATACAGAGTCAGTTGCAGCAAACAAATCCAGGTCTCCTCATGAGGGTCCCTTGGGCAAATAAGAGGGTGAAAAGTAACAGATTTGCATAACATTTGTATATGGCAGCTTATTAATGTAGACAGAAATTTAGAAACAGTCCTTTTCCAAAAATGCAACTCATTCCTGCTACTCATGACAGTGTTTGAAAAGTAACTCATTGCCCTTCCTTACTGGGAAGTCAGAAAAGTAAATTGTTAAATTACTAGCCACGTAGCTTGTTGCCTTTTTCAATTACTTTTGTGGGAGGCTTAAGGCCTAACAAGAAAATGCTGCAAAGCTTGAAAAAGTCCTGTCTAAAAGATGTTAACATGCCTCAGAAAAGCCGTTCCAAATTTCAAAGCACCTTGAAAGCATTGATCATGATACCAGTAAATGATACCAGTTTATTTCATGTATTATTTTGGATGCATAGCTTTATTACATCTTGTTTACCCTAAAAAGTCCTAAGCAAAACCCCAAAAGGATTCTGACCCTTCTCTTTAAACCTGACCTAGAATGAAACTAGATGACTGAATTATTCTGGCCTGGATTGGTCTGATCATGCTAATCGTGATTTCTTTGAGGTTTGGTATGTCTGGTATGATTCGAGATTTGCTCAAGGGATGACTGCAAGAAAACCCTGTTTCACACAATTAAGACTTCTTTCCCCTTAAAAAGAAAGCTTCCCAGTTAAGTGTTTAAGCAAAGCATGGAGGAGGAAGCCACTTAACAATCCTGAGAAACAGAAATATTCCTAGTTGTTCACCTTTGGAGGAGAAGGGAAGTCAAGTTTTGCACTTCTTTTAAATTGCTGAAAATCAGCAAGTGCATCAGCAATGCTTTAAAATAAGCCATTTCAAAGCATCACTGATATGTTAGCAGCAATTAAAAAGAAGAAGAAAAATTCCTCTCCTGGTCCTCCAAAGGCAAGTGGCAAGGAAGCTTTCCATTTCTGAAGACTGTTTCATAAAGGGACAATCAGCAGCTGCTTTGGTTTGATCCCAGCAATCACACATGCTGGAACCATACCAAAGTGGAGCGATCCCACCCTCACCTAAAAAAAAGTAGCCTGTGACAGGGAGCCAAAAAGCATAGGTAGGAATGCTCTGGGCATAAACTGGCTCGTGGTGGCACTTACATTGTGTGGTCATCAAGAAAATATGTGAAGCAGACCATCCCCAGAGTGGACCAAACTACAGGGAAAATTCCCATGAAACCACACCCTTTGACTGGACAGCTATTCAAATCTAGAATGCTTCTAAATAGCAGTCTGTCGTTGTCTGCCAACAGGACACGAACCCAGTGTAGCTCACCTTTATGGAATTTGCCCACCCAAGTAGAAAACAGAAATCAGGAGAGAGGAGGTACTTAATGGGCTAGTGCTGTTACTGAGTTTCCCAGGCCAGCACAAAGCTGCCAAAAATGTTAATGTTTAAGTCCTGCTCTTGCTGGACAGAAGAGAGTGAGGGGGTGGGGTGACCATGGGATTATAGAAGAGGAACGCATGAGATGTTCCAGATCCTTTTAAAGGTCCAACTCACCCTCTTTTTCAGCCATTTCGGAAGTGGTTAATCATCAAATCCACTGCACTGTCTTTTCAGAAATCCTGCTCCTCCAAGTCAGGAGGCTTTGGTGACCAAAGAAAACGCCCTCTGGAAACTGTACAAACAAGAAAGAAACATAACTGTCTTAAAGTCTCAAACCATGTAGGAAGTTCCAGAGGGTGGCACAACGGGGCATTTCCCAGGGCCCTCATCAGACCAACAGAGGAGCCACCTCTTTAAGACTGGTAGCATTCCTAGTTTGCACACAGTATTCCAGATTAGCTGCAGCCTAAGAAAATTGTCTGGATAAAAATGGATGTTACAGATACAGTAGGACCACAGTATCCACAGAATCAGTACCCATACTTTTACTTATCCACTGTCTGAAAATATTAAGCGTAAAAAAACAAAAAAAAATGTGTTTCCAAGATGTATTGTCAGAACTGACCACTAGGGGGAACCAGAGACTATGTTAGATAGAGCGTTTGCTAAATCCAAGGGGTTTTGGGGGGGCATCTATAGCTTGGAACTAATCTTTGTCAGATACCAAAGTCCCTCATTACAAAAGTGCTCAAAGCATCAAAGTATCTAAGAACACAACATAAGCTTTTCTCACCTCAAATAACTAGGAACTCTGTTGGCTTTGTTTTGTGATTGGGCTTCGCATCTTCAGTACGAGATTCCTTGTGAAGCCTGATTTTTCCAGACACAACAGTTACCCCAAACCAAGTTTTTCCATCACTTTCAGGTCTAATCATGGACCACTTATAATGTCTGTTTCTGCATGTCCACATCCTCACGGAAACCATGGAGAGGAGAGGAGACAGGCTGAGGGTGCAGGTTCTGGAATCAATATCACTTTCAAGTCCATGTCCTTCTCTGTAGTGCTGGCCAGATTCAATCCAGCCAGAATGTAGCAGGTAAGGCTGCAAGCTTATGTGTAATTACTTAAAAATCTTACTGGGCTCAATGGGACTTGCTTATGAGGAAACAGTCATAGCAATGCAGTTTACAAGTATCAGATGAAAAACTGGGAAGACCTTGGTTCAAATCTCACCTCAGAAATGAACAGGACTCCCAAGAAATCCACAAATGTGCTTGCCTCACCGACTCTGAAATGGGGATTCTGGTACTGATCAACCTTACAGGGCTGTTGTATGTAGGGTTTCACAGGTAATCCTAACAAACTATTTCGAATGTGCAATACATGTCATTAACCAAACTATGCACTGGGTCTTTATAATTTACCCCCAAGGATCACTGTGTGGTAGCTGATTCTCCCAAAACCCACTGGATCCTCCTCACAACAGTCCCATAACATGAGTGGGGCTGAAAGAACCTGACTAACCCAACAGGGGCCGTCCAGGATCTTTTGCCCCCTAAGGCAAGGGGGGGGGAATGTCGCTCTGCTTCACTTTACATACATCTTATTTCAGCGCTGTGCACTGTGTGGTCTTCACAACTGCACTTCAGGGCAGCAGGCTAATACTGAGGTAAAAAAATGGCCAGCGGGTTTATGAAAAAT